TGGCCGCGGCGACCACGGCTTGGACGAGGCTGTGCTGGCTAGAGTTTACCTCTAGCATGTAGAGCGCCTCCCTCGTTGCCGCCGTGACGCGGGCGTTGGTCAACTCCTGTTGCGCGGCGGCGACGGCGGCGGCCTGCACGGCGGCCTTATCCCTCGCGTCCGCGGCGTGCCTCCGACCCTTCCTCTTGGCCGACTCCCTGCCCGCTGTTCGGGCGTCAGCGCCTTCTTCGGCTTGGTCGCGGTGGCGGTCTTGCGCGGGGCACAAGGCTTGCCTTTCCTGAAGGGGGTGACGGCGCCGGACGAGGCGAGGGAGGCGAGGCCGGCGGCGGCGTCGAGGTCGAGGTCGATGGCGTCGTCCATGGCTGGTTGGGGGACGGGAGCGCTCGCAAGCGGGAGTGTTTTGGGGGAAAATAGGGAGAAATGGTGGTGGTTGCCACTGACCGGCGGGGGCAGGCCCGGGGAGAGGAGTAGGCACGCGTGTCCATCTCGTGTCCGCGCCGACGCAAATCCGGCTCAAAATTAAGCCGGAAATGGGTCGCCCGCGGACGAAAAATGGACGCACGTCCGTTTGGGTCGGCGCTTTGGACCGTCGCTTTTGTCCGCGCCGATCCAAACGGACGCGGGCGGACGAAATGGGTCGTCCCATTGAAGTTGCTCTTAGTGCATAGTTCCAGTGGCAGAGTCCGGCCTGGTCCTTGAGGGCCTCCACGGCACCGATGCTCATCGCCACCATCCAAGACGCCTTATAGCCGCACCGGCCATGATCTCTCCGTGTGCTGGTGGTCTGAAATTCTGAAGTACTAGCTGATGGGTGAAGAGAGGTAGAGTAGCTCGTTGTCGAGTGTAGAGTGCGGAATTTCTGGTTGTGAATGAAGTGGGATGAAGGCTGGTTGATGCTTGCGTTGATGAGAGGGAGAGCCGGGCTGGGACGAGGTTATATACTGGAAGGGGGCTGGGAGGTCCGGACCAAAACAGTGGTCGCAGACGTTGGTTTTCCCATGAAACCGGGTGCTCCCGGAGTCATCACTCTGCTACTACTCTGCTTCTTCGCGCTGCAACTATCGTTGTTGTGTCGTTTTGTTTATTTATTCCCCGTGGAAGTGGTGGTTTTGGCCATTGTGAGAGAGTCTGGGATTGTCACTCTGTGCATTTTAAAACCGAACCCAAAAACCATACCGAAAATAAACCGAACCGAACCGATTTTTTTATTTTTATGGTTTCTGATTTCGGTATGGTATGAACTTTTCATACCGATTTGAACTTTGGTTTTTATGGTATATACCGAAAAACCGAATGGTTAACCGAATAAACCGAAGTAAAAGATAAATTTATATTTCTTGAGATGAACAACCGTACAAGTTGTCATTTTTTTTGTACATGAGTCAAATTCACTACTAAGCACCAACATTTTTCTTGTAACATTGTCATTTTTCTCTTTTTAAAATGCTAAGCACGTCCATAACCATCAACAGATGAATCAATGCATGCATATATACTTATATATATAGTCATATACTATTTGTGTAAAATATAATGTGTTTTGAGTCATAAATTTGCAAATTATTATTACGTCATTTTCAAATTCGCGTCAACTTTGGTTTTTATGGTATATACCGAAACCATACCGAAATAATTTGGTATATACCAAAACCGAACCGTATTTTAATTTCATACCGTATTTACCGAAGTATTAATACCGTACATACCGAAAAACCGTATAAACCGAACCATGTAAACTGAATAAACCGAACGCACAGGGCTATGGGATTGGCACGAGCCGGCGGATATAAGATATGAATGAGTATAGGTGATGCGTGTAAATATTCAGTAAGCAGATTCAAATGTTATTGCGACTTGCGTGTACTAACATTAGTTGTCTTAGAAATAGCATCCATGGAAATACTATAGAACTATTGTTTGTAGGCTAAAAAATGTGAGAATTGTCGAAGTTACTGCTTCATAGAAAGCAATTTTTGTAGTTGCCATAGATGTGGTTTTGCACATGTGGTAACTAAGTGTGCAAATAAAATTGGCAGAACATGAATATAATGGGGAAATGAAAAATACATTTTAGAAAAACATAAAAAAATCAGGTAAAATTTCGGAAGGTTAAAATTGGATAGTTATCATAAATATTCAGGAAACCATGTAATCTGATAAAATTCAAAAGATTTAATTTGCTAAATTTTAATTCTTCAAAGGTAAAATTCTCTTAGTTTTAATACATTTTGAAATATAGAAGATTGTTCGCAAATTCATTCATTTTGACCAATTTTTTCCGTACCTCTTCATTTCCATGTTTTCTTGTATAGACAAAAAAATCCTAAAATAAACATATATTGTTCAGCAATTGTCTGAAATTTTTATTGTTCTATTTTCACATCTTTCCCATGCTTTGTAAAAAAACACGGTGGTGATTATGCTACCATGCATGCAAAACCACTTTCAATGGGGCAAAAATACCAAATCTAGATGTTTTTGACACTTGGTTGACAAAGATTTTTTTTATGTTCGGAGCCAAATTTAAGATTTGACAATACTTGGAGAATCATCCCCCCCCCCCCTAAGGAATAATATGAATTCAGTATATTCAAAATCATCGCATCAACTTGATGGTAAGACAACTATAAATGTGTGGAGATGCAAATCTAGACGTTTGACACTTGGGAGACCAAAAATTTCTCACATTGTAGTTTTATACTTTGACAACTGATGGAGCAAAATATATATTTATTAAAATATACAAAAAAATATACAATACATGCCCATGCAAATTAATAAAAAGGTCTAACCACCGGCGTCATGTAAAGTCAAGAAATGTTAATTGTACAACTTTTTTCTTCGCTCCTGCTCTCGTGCGAACTCCCATCTAGGGTTTCCCTGCCTCTCGCTGGCGCTGCGGTCGGTCGCCTCGTCTACTATGGTCCTTGGAGGCACGGTGGATACGGGCTCCGTTTTTTCATGCTTTTCGAAGTTTTGTTAGGGTTTGTGTCATGCTCAAGAAGATGGGGCGGCAGCGGCTTCTTGTAGATGGAATAAGGTTCTCCCCATCTAGCCCACATCCCGTTGATGCTTCAAGCATCGTCGGAGGGCGTGTGGACGTGTGTTTCCAGCGGATCTCATGGGATCTGGTCAGCGTTTGTCTTCGATGGATCCGCCTGGATCCTATCTTTGTTCGTCTACGTCTCTGTGTTTGCAGGTTGGATCCTTTCGATCTACACTTCTCTTCATCGGCTGCTCTGGTGCGCTGGTCATATGGGGTCTTAGCACGACGACTTTCCAACTGTCTACTACACTAATGTTTGCTTGAGGTACGGTTTATTGATTAGTATAGGTGGACCCCTATACCCGTTCGAGCCAGGACACATGCGACGTTTTCTTTTTGACGGGTGGTACATGGGCCACATAATATAATATACAAAGAAACGATCCGATCAAGTAAGAGTCCACCAACACCAAGAAAAGATATTTACTTTAAATCTCAACCGTCAATCTTTATGGATAACACAAAATCAACGGATATAAAAAGATGACTTATGAAGAACTATGAAAACTTCCGTCCTTTATTATTAGCCACAGAGACGCCTAACAAATATCTCAGTAGATTTCTGCAGCACAATTGTTTATGTCAACATTAATAATTATGATATTATCGATCTGCTTAATGGCTTGAAAGGAACTTGTGTGTGTGCTCGTAAGTACTCCTCGTTAGAAAGTTAAATTTTCTTTTGCTTCTATGGAAATAGACGGTCATTCAGTATAGAAACTGAAAAGGGGTTGCGATGTCCTTCACTATGTCACCACGCTCGCTCCAATAAAAAATCACATTCTTAGAGAAAGAATGACTCTGCCTTAGTGGCGACTAGCCTCAGTGTCATCCATATCCCTTGAACCCTCCACTTGTTGTGAGCCAGGTCGATTCGCGCAAAGTACTTGCAACTAATGAAAAACATATACATGGTGTTCCCCATTAAAACAATTAGAGAAGAATTTGTTGCGGGTCCCCTCCGACCCTACTTAGTTCAACCAAATGAACTTAATGTTTCAAAAATGAAGTGAATTCTGAAAATTTAGTTCATTTAGTTGAACTAAAGAGGGTCGGAGGGTACCCTCAAGGTTTCAATTTGAATGCCTAGTTGGACAGGAACACGACACCATAATCTCTAATAGTCACCGTTGCAGCGAACAGGGTACCCTTAAGATTTCAAATTCTGAATATGAGCATCGTACGCATATTCTACACGGCTTGCCTGCAACTGGAAAGAGGACCGTGTGTGTCCCACTCTGATCAGAGGAAAAAACACGTTTAGTTAACTTATTAATACTGTCTTATTAACGTAATCACTCTGATCAGGCTCACTTTAATTAGATCTCATGCCCCTTGAGAAGACCGCAGAGCAACGAAATTCAGAACATGTTCGCCACCATCTCGTCTGTCGACTCGAGCCACAATAAGCACATCCAGCAGGTCGACTCCGTCAAAGTACACAAATATATAATCTCTAACGGCCACCGGTTGCAGCGAACTGGAGGTGTTCGAATTCCATCAAAGAAGATGCGAAATTTTGGAGGGCAGCCGGGTGTATCGCTTCGGTACAGGCAACTGAAGTTCCTCTGTTTTCTGCATGCCTCGTTTTGTTGAGTTGCTTTCCCCGTGTAACTGTGAACATTCTTCCTCTCTTGACAAACATCAACCTTTGGCCTTCAAGAAAATAGCCATGGAAGCACATGGACAAGGAGGGTGATATAAACTCATAGCCGAGATTTTCAACATCATCATAGCCGAGATTTTCATCATCATTATGGTGTTGTATTTACATCGATCATGGGGTTGTCGCCTAAGCACAAGCTGCGACGAACACAACACCACTAAGCTACTAGTACTCCTAATTTGGGCCCCAACAGCTGAGGTACATCATGGTCCTCAGCCCCTCCTCGGCCTTCTCTGCCCGTCGCCTCTCGGCCACCGCCGCAGCAGAGGCCGCAAGCTGCTTGGGGCCCTGCGAGACGCCGCCGCGGACGTTGGCCCTGGCCTTGGCTGCCCGGTGGATGGAGCTGAGCGCATAGTTCCAGCGGCAAAGCCCCGCCTGGTCCTTGAGGGCCTCCACAGCGCCCACGCTCATGGCCACCAGCCACGACGCCTTCGCCGGGGCAGCCATCCCTCCTTGTCCTTGTTGTTCTTGCTGCGCTGCTGGAGAGTGGACACTGACTTGTGATCCTTCTGTATGGCAGTAGAGGACTTGGGAAGTTGCGGTACTGAAAGAACAGAGCTGATTCTCTTGGACTATCTCGCTGAATTGACGCTGGTTTGTGTTGGAGAAGACACCGGACTCACCCATGTGTGCGCCTCAGGCAAAACATCTTGATTATTAATGATATAAATACATCTTGATTACTTCCAAGAAACTCGTGGTACTGATACTATGCTGACACTTACACTGTTGTATTATCGACCTGTTATTACGGAAACGGGTTAGCATGGTTCAAAAGAAACGTGTGGGGATTCCTCTTGTTGAAAAGCCAGTTCATTTGCTTGCATCACCCTAGGAAACTTAGAAAGAAAAACGTGTGACCAGCCTTTTTGGCTCTTCCTCTAGCTCTGATCAGAAAGCCTGCAGATGGTAAGGATCAGCTAACTATTTATTGTGGACGAACCAAGCAACTGGAGGCAGATCAATGAACAAAACAGAAACTAAATGGATTGCTTGATGACACCTTCAATATAGATATGGGAATTTATCATGTGTCACTTCAACACCTGCAGATAACACCTTCATGTGTGCTGCAGACTGAAGAAATTCAGCATGTTTGCTAGGAAGTAGGAACATGAAGTACTTGTAAGTTGTAATGCCATACGATCAAAGGCCGGGTTCAGAGATAACGGAATAGCTGTAAGGTGAAATCAAATTAAAGCAAACAATGCATATTCCTCATCGAGGGAACTAAAAAACAAACAGACAAGAGGAGCAATATGAACTGAAGTAACAGAAATTTGTCATCATCATCATCCTAGTTTTTACAAGGGAAGCCAGCTAGTACCAAGTTTCTGCATCGTGGTTTCAGGCCATAGTACCAAACACAGAGACGCCTAGCTAGTACTACCAAGTAGGCAGCTTCTAATTGGGACCCCAGCAGCTGAGGTACATCACCGTCCTCAGCCCTTCCTCGGCCTTCTCCCCTTGCCGCCTCTCCGCCACCGCCGCAGCAGAGGCTGGAAGCTGCTTGGCGCCCTGCGGGACGCCCCCGCGGACGTTAGCCCTGGCCTTGGCTGCCCGATGGATGGATTTGAGGGCGTAGTTCCAGCGGCAGAGGCCGACCTGGTCCTTGAGCGCCTCCACCGCGCCCACGCTCATCGCCACCATCCAAGACGCCTTAGCTGCGCCCGCCATGATCTCTCTCTGTGCTGCTGGTCTGAAACTCCGAAGTAGGTGATGACTGAAGAGTAGTTGTCGAGTGTAGAGTGTGGACTTTGTGATTGTGAATGAACTGAGATGAAGGCTGATTGATGCTTGTGTTGATGAGAGGGAGAGCGGGGCTGGGATGAGATTATATACACGAGGAGGGCTGGGAGATCCGGAGCAAAACAGTGGACGCGGACGTTGGTTTTTCAACGAACCCGGGTGCCTCCGGAGTCATCACTCTGCTACTACTCTGCTTCTTCACGCCGCAACTATCGCTGTCGTGCCGTTTTGTTTATTCCCTGTGGAAGCGGTGGTTTTGGCCATTGCGAGAGAGTCTGGGATTGGCACAAGCCGACAGAGATAAGATATGAATGACGGATAGGTAATGTGTGTAGATATTCAAATGTTATTGCGACTTGCGAGTACTAATATTAGTTGTCTTAGAAATAGAATCCATGGAAATACTGTAGAACTATTGTTCGTAGGCTAAAAAATGTGAGAATTGTCGAAGTTACTGCTTCATATAAAGCAATTTTGTAGTAGCCATAGAGGTGGTTTTGCACACGTAGTAACTAAGTGTGCAAGTAAAATTGGAAGAGAACATGAATAAAATGGGTAAAAGAAAATACATTTTAGAAAACATAAAAAATCGGGTAAAATGTTAGAATTTGGAATTGGGTAGTTATCATAAATATTCAGGAAATCATGTAATCTGATAAAATTCAAAAGATTTAATTTTCTGAATTTATTTCTTCAAATTTAAATATTTCTTAGTTTCAATACATTTTGAAGAATAAAAGGTTGTCCTCAAATTTATTCCTTTCGACCATTTCTTTCCACTGCTCTTCATTTCCAAGTATTTTATAGAAAAAAAATCATTAGAAAACATATATTGTTCAGCAAATGTCTAAAGTTTTTATTCTTCTATTTTCCCATCTTTCACATGCTTTGTCAAAAAAGCATTGTGGTGAGTATGCTATGATGTTTGCAAAATCACTTTCAATGGGGTCATAATACAAAATCTAGAGGTTTCGACACTTTATGGACAAATAATTTTTTCATTGGAGACGCGGAGCCAAATTTAAGGGTTGATAAAGGTTGAAGAACCATATTTCCCCATAAGGAATAATATGAATTTTGTGTATGCAAAATCGTCGGGCCAACATGATGGTAAGACAACTATAAATGTGTCTAGATACAAATAGACAATTTGACACTTCGAGACCAGAAATTTCCAACATTGTAGTTTTATACTTTGACGATTGATGTAGCAAAATATATAGTTCTTAAAATATACAAAAAAAAGATACATCGCCCTGCCAATTAAAAAAGGCACTAACCACATCTGACATGTAAAGAGGAGAACAAGGGGCACCGATTTTGCTCATTTTTCTTGCCTACCATGATTCATTATGTTCCGCTTTATTTTATTTTAGTTTTCCTCTGATGATTTACAGTTTTTATTATCATTTGTAGGCTGGCAGGAAACTTATGGATCAGGATCAATTTTTCGGGTCTCTGCTTTTGCTCTGCCTGTCGAAGTAGCGAACAGAACAGAGCAACAGGCAAAGCTTGTGACCAACTCCAAGCAATAATCTTCCAAAAGAATACTAAGCAAAAGAGCTGTTTGAAGGGCAATGCAAACCTTATTTTTTGAATCAGGTAATGTGAACTCAAAGTGGGGTAAGATTTCATCATTATCATCATGGTGAGACATATTTACAATCGGGAGGGAATTAAACAGTCACACGGCATGGTTGTTGCTTGAGGCTGGAGCTAGCAGAACTGCAAAAACACCTCTTGCTAACTAGCACTTCCTGTGTAAACTAATATAAGACCGTTTACATCACCATTAGGACGGCCGCTTCTCTACTGTGGCGGCGGCCGCCGAAGCTGCTTCTCTACTGTGGAGGGTAGAATCCGTTAAGTAAGTGTCCCTAAAAAAAAGAATTTGTTGAGTAAGTGAAGAATTGACTGGTTGTGTTGATGAAAGGAAGAGTGGGAGACGGACGTTGTTTCTCCTTTTCCAGGATCCCCCAGTGCTTTCGGGGTCTTTCACTTGTGTACACCGCACCTCTCATTATCGTCCTGGTGCAGAGGGACTGCTCCCAGTAGTGGCAGTTTTGACAAATAAAATTGATGCTTCGAGAAGGTTATTTTCAAAAGAATTTTCGAGCATTGATTTTGTTTTTTTCCACGTCTTCCAACAATGTCATGTCATGATGAAACTTCGCAAGCAATCAAAACTTTTGTCAATGTTTACTAACAAAAATCAGAAGCACATCCAGCAGGTCGACTCCATCAAAGTACACAAAGCTATAATCTCTAACAGCCACCGCTTGCAGTGACCCGGAGGTGTTCGAATTTGATCAAAGAAGATGTGAAATCTTGGAGGGCAGCCAGGTGTATCGCTGAGATCCAACTCCCATGTTCTATCCTTTCTTCAGAGTTTGGCTGTTCGGTATAGGCAGCTGAAGTTCCTCTGTTTTCTGTATGCCTCGTTTTGCTGAGTTGCGCTCCCCATGTAACTGAACAGGTCCTCTCTTGACAAACATCAACCTTTGGCCTTTCAAAAGACAGTCATAGAAGCACATGGACAAGGAGGGTGATATAAACTCATAGCCGAAATTTTCATCATCATCATCGTGCTGTATTTACAATCGATCATCGGGTTGTCACATACGCACAAGCTGCAACGAACACAACACCCCTAAGATACTACTACTCCTAATTTGGGCCCCAGCAGCTGAGGTACATCACCGTCCTCAGCCCCTCCTCGGCCTTCTCCGTCACCGTCGGCGCGGAGACCGGAAGATGCTTGGTGCCCTGCGAGACACCACCGCGGACGTTGGCCTTGGCAGCTCGGTGGATGGACCCGAGTGCGTAGTTCCAGCGGCAGAGCCCGGCTTGGTCCTTGAGCGCCTCCACCGCGCCCACGCTCATGGCCACCATCCACGAAGCCTTCGCCGGAGCAGCCATCTCTTCTCCTCCTCCTTGTCCTTGCTTGGCTGCTGGCAAGGATACTGAATCCTTGTGTATAGTGATAATGGACTTGCGAAGTTGTGGTACTGAAAGAAGGAGTTGATTTCTTGAACTGTCTCACTGAAGCGGATGCTTGTCCGTGCTGATGGGAGGAAGAGTGGTAGTGGTCCGTGATTATATACAAGAGAGCCCGAGCTAAACAGGCTGCCGCGGGCCCTGGTTTTCTAGATACCGGGTGCTCCGGCTCCCAGGCGAGCACTTTTGCTTGCTTGCGCCGCAGCCGTCGCTCTCGTTCCGGCACATTGGGCCTTGGTTTTGTCCGTTACGACCAGACAAGGCAGAGAGATAAGATTAGATAGGGGTGACGCGCACGCAGGAAGACATGGTTTCCACCATACCAGGGGCCGTGTGAGCTTCGTGTGAACGTCAGATGGAGGAGACACCGGAGTCATCCATGTGTGCGCCTCAGGCAAACATCTTGATTATTGTTTATTACTAATAATATAAATACATGTTGGTTACTTCCGAGAAACTCGTGGTATTGATACTATGCTGATACCAACATTGTTGTATTAATGGAAAGAGGTTAACATGGTTCAAAAGAAAAACTCGTGGCACTCAAAACGTATGGGAACTCCTCTTGTTCAAAAGCCAATTCATCTGCCTGCATGACCCTAGGAAAGTTAGAAAGAAAAACACGTGACCTGCCTTTTTGGCTCTTCCTATAGCTCTGATCAGAAACCCTCCCGATGGTAAGGATCAGTTAACTAGTATTTAATGTGGACGAACCAAGTAACTGGAGGCAGGTCAACGAGCAAAACTGAAACAAAACGGATTGCTTGATGACACCTTCAGTATTGGGAATTTATCATGTGTGTCACTTCGACACCTGCAGATGACACCTTTATGTGTGCTTGCAGACTGAAGAAATACAGCATGTTTGCCATGAACTCAGTCGCTCAGTAGATCGGCAAAAATGAAGTCCTTGTGAGTTGTAATGACATACGACCAAAAGGCCGGGTTCAAAGACAAGGGAATAGCCAAAACTAAAGTAAAGCATCAATTCGTATTTCTCATCAAGATAACAAAAAGGCAAACAGATAACTGAAGTAACAGAAATTTGTCATCATCATTGTGGTTTTTACGACGGGGGGTTCCACAGGAAGCCAGCTAATACCGAGTTTTTACATCGTGGTTTCAGGCCATGGTTGTTGCAGCAAACACACACACGCCTAGCTAGCACTAAGTTGCAGCTGCTAATTTGGACCCCAACAGCTGAGGTACATCACCGTCCTCAGCCCTTCCTCGGCCTTCTCCGCTCACTGCTTCTCGGCCACCGCCGCCGCAGAGGCCGGAAGCTGCCTGGCTCCCTGCGAGACGGTGCCACGGACGTTGGCGCTGGCCTTGGCTGCCCGATGCTTAGTGTTAAAAGAGATAACTGGCCTTAGCATTTTTCTGGCAAGAGAGTACAATAATGATTTAGGAGTAGATCACTGGACAGCGGTCAAAATTATCCTTAAAGGACTAAGGAAATATTTCTCGGTTATGGAGGTGATAAAAGAGTTCGTCATAAAGAGTTACGTCGATGCAAGCTTTTTACGTCGATCTAGATGACTCTAAGTCTCGATTTAGATACATATTGAAAGTGGGAGCAATAAGATAGAGTAGCTTCATGCAGAGTATTGTAGACATAAAAATTTGCTAAATACATACGGATCTGAATGTTGCAGACCTGTAGACTAAACTTCTCTCACAAGCAAAACATGATCACACTTTGGGTGTTAATCACATAGCGATGTGAACTAGATTATTGACTCTAGTAAAACCTTTTGGGTATTAGTCACATGGAGATGTGAACTGATCACATAAAGATATGAACTAGATTATTGACTCTAGTGCAAGTGGGAAACTGAAGGAAATATGCCCTAGAGGCAATAATAAAGTTATTATTTATTTCTTTATTTCATTATAAATGTTTATTATTCATGCTAGAATTGTATTAACTGAAAACATAATACATGTGTGAATACATAGACAAACAGAGTGTCACTAGTATACCTCTACTTGACTAGCTCGTTGATCAAAGATGGTTATGTTTCCTAAATCATAGACATGAGTTGTCATTTGATAAACGGGATCACATCATTAGGAGAATGATGTGATTGACTTGACCCATTCCGTTAGCTTAGCACTTGATTGTTTTAGTTTACTGCTATTGCTTTCTTCATGACTTATACATGTTCCTATGACTATGAGATTATGCAACTCCCGATTACCGGAGGAACACTTTGTGTGCTACCAAACGTCACAACGTAACTGGATGATTATAAAGGTGCTCTACAGGTGTCTCCGATGGTACTTGTTGAGTTGGCGTATATCGATATTAGGATTTGTCACTCCGATTATCGGAGAGGTATCTCTGGGCCCTCTCGGTAATGCACATCACTATAAGCCTTGCAAGCAATGTAACTAATAAGTTAGTTGCGGGATGATGCATTACGGAACGAGTAAAGACACTTGCCGATAACGAGATTGAACTAGGTATTGAGATACCGACGATTGAATCTCGGGCAAGTAACATACCGATGACAAAGGGAACAACGTATGTTGTTATGCGGTTTGACCGATAAAGATCTTCGTAGAATATGTAGGAGCCAATATGTGCATCCATGTTCTGCTATTGGTTATTGATCAGAGAAGTGTCTCGGTCATGTCTACATAGTTCTCGAACCCGTAGGATCCGCACGCTTAATATTCGTTGACGATATAGTATTTATGAGTTATGTATGTTGGTAACCGAATGTTGTTCGAAGTTCCGGATAAGATCACGGACATGACGAGGAAATTCGGAATGGTCCGAAGATAAAGCTTGATATATGGGATAATAGTGTTTGGTCACCCAAAGGGTTCCCGAATTCACTGGAAGGGGTTCCGGATGTTTCCCGAAATGTTTGGGTACGAGAACACTTTATTTGGGCCAAAGGGGAAAGCCCACAAGGTTTTTGGAAAGCGCAAAAGAAAGTTTTGCAGAGTCCAGGGGCAGACGCCAGGGTCCCAGGCGTCTGGGTCCAGACGCCGGGAACCCTGATGTCTGGCCTTGGATTCTGAGAAGGACTCTTGCCTTTCAGGTGAAACCGACTTTGTGGAGGCTTTTACTCCAAGTTTCGACCCCAAGGCTCAACATATAAATAGAGGGGTAGGGCTAGCACCCAAGACACATCAAGAAACACCAAGCCATGTGTCGGCAACCTCGTCCTCTCTAGTTTATCCTCCGTAATAGTTTTTATAGTGCTTAGGCGAAGCCCTGTGGAGATTGTTCTTCACCAACACCGTCACCACGCCGTCGTGGTGCCGGAACTCATCTACTACTTCGCCCCTCTTGCTGGATCAAGAAGGCGAGGACGTCATCGAGCTGAACGTGTGCTGAACGCGGAGGTGTGTACGTTCGGTACTTGATCGGGACGGATCGTGAACGTGTACGACTACATCAACCGCGTTGATAACGCTTCCGCTTTCGGTCTACGAGGGTACGTAGACATACTCTCCCCTCTCGTTGCTATGCATCATCATGATCTTGTGTGTGCGTAGGATTTTTTTTGAAATTGCTACGTTCCCCAACATGGAGAGGTGTCTCGGTCATGTCTACATAGTTGTCGAACCCATAGGGTCCGCACACTTAACGTTCGTTGACTATAGTATTATATGCATTATGTGATTTGGAGACCGAATGTTGTTCGGAGTCCCGGATGAGATCATGGACATGAAGAGAAGTCTCAAAATGATCGAGAGGTAAAGATTGATACATAGGACGATGGGTATTCGGACACCGGAAGTGTTCCGGAGGGTACTGGGTACTTATCGGGTCACCGGAAAGGAGTTTCGGGCACCCCCGGCAAAGATATGGGCCTTATGACCCAAGTGAGGGAACACACCAGCCCTGGTGCGCCCCTATAGAGGCCAGCCTTATGAGGAGGAAAAGGAAAGAGGGGAGGGCAAGGAAAGTGTGGATTAGGATTCCTATTTCCTCCCCCCTCGGTTATATATGGCAGGGAGGCGCGCGGCTTGGGAGGGACTCCAAGTAGGATTCCTCCTACTTAGGCGCCTCCTATGGCTGCTCCTCCCTCCCTCCCACCTATATATATGAGGAAGGGGGCGCCTAGCACACCCCAGACAATTGCTTAGCCGTGTGTGGCGCCCCACTTCACAGTTTACACGCTCGGTCATATCTTCGTGGTGCTTAGGCGAAGCCCTGCGATGATCACTTCACCATCACCATCGTGTTTGACGGAACTCATCTACTACCTCGACGTCTTGCTGGATCAAAAAGGCGAGGGACGTTACCGAGCTGAACGTGTGCAGAACACGGAGGTGCCGTGCGTTCGGTACTTGATCGGTTGGAGCGCGAAGAAGTTCAACTACATCAACCGCGTCGTGAAACGCTTCCGCTTACGGTCTACGAGGGTACGTAGACACACTCTCCCCCTTGTTGCTATGCATCTCCATGGATAGATCATTGCGTGTGTGTAGAAATTTTTGAAATTGCATGCTACGTTTCCCAACAAGCATTGTGCAAGGCGTATGATTTTCAGGAGGGTATGCATGTCACCTTCAATCTTGGTGATCCTGAAGATGATAAGGTGGAGGAGAGAGAACTCATAAGAGAAGGCTTGTCTTCTCTTATTTAAGATAAGACAAGAGATGATCTCTTAGCACAATATGTCTCACCACTTTTTTAGGAATTGCTAGTTATTGAAGATAAGGCTAAGAGATGACCCAGTGTAGACATTTTTCTTTGTCATCTCTAAATTACATGCAAAACTTAAGATAAGATTATCTTATCAACCATTGTACATGCCCTTATCGTCCCGCTGCAGTGGGACTGCTCCCAGTAATGGCAGTTTTGACAAATAAAATGGATGCTTCAAAAATGTTTTCAAAAGAATTTTGGAGCATTTTTTTTTTCACGTCTTCTAAAAATGTCATGCCATGATGAAACTTTGCAAGCAATAAATTTTTTTATCAATGATTACTAACAAAAATCAGAAGCACATCCAGCAGGTCGACTCCATGTCTCCATCAAAGTACACAAAGCTATAATCTCTAACGGCCACCGCTTGCAGCGACCTGGAGGTGTTCGAATTTGATGAAAGAAGATGTAAAATCTTGGAGGGTAGCCGGGTGTATCGCTGAGATCCAACTCCCCTGTTCTTTCCTCTCTTCAGAGTTTGGCTGTTCGGTACAGGCAGCTGAAGTTCCTCTGTTTTCTCTTTTCTGTATGCCTCGTTTTGCAGAGTTCCTCTCTTGAAAAACATCAACCTTCGGCCTCCCAAAAAATAGCCATGGAAGCACATGGACAAGGAGGGTGATATAAACTCATAGCCGAATTTTCATCATTATCATCGGCAGAGCCCAGCTTGGTCCTTGAGCGCCTCCACCGCGCCCACCCTCATGACCACCATCCACGACGCCTTCGCCGGCGCAGCCATCTCTCTTCCTCGTTGTTCTTGCTGCTCTGCTCTTGAGGATACCGAATTGTGATCCTTGTGGTAGTGGACTTGCGAAGTTGCGGTACTGAAAGAACAGAGCTGATTTTCTTGAACTGTCTCACTGAATTGATGCTTGTTTTGTGTTGATGGGAAGAAGATTGGGAGTGAGACGCGGTTATATACGGGAGGGCCGGAGCAAAACAGACGGCTGAGCTCACTTTTGCTTGCTTGCGCCGCAACTCTCGCTCTCGTTCCCGCACAGTGGGTCATGGTTTTGTCCGTTACGACCAGACAAGGCCGTGTGCGCTTCGTGTCAACGTCGGATGGAGGAGTCATCCATGTGTGCGCCTCAGGCAAAACATCTTGATTATTAATAATGATATAACTATATCTTGATTATTTCCAAGAAACTCATGGTACTGCTATTAATTGAGAGGGGTTAACCTGGTTCAAAAGAAAAACTTGTGGTACTCGAAACGTGTGGGGATTCCTCTTGTTGAAAAACCAATTAGTTTGCTTGCATGACCCTAGGAAATTTAGAAAGAAAAACGGGTGACCTGCCTTGTTGGCTCTTGGCTCTTGCTATAGCTCTCATCAGAAAACCAGCAGATAGTAAGGATTAGTTAACTACTATTCCTACTATTTAATGTGAACTCAACGAGCAAAACTGAATGTAAATGGATTGCTTGATGAGACCTTCAGTACAGATATGGGAATTTACCATGTGTGTCACTCCAACACCTGCAGATGACACCTTCATGTGTGCTGCAGACTGCAGAAATTCAGCAGGTTTGCTACGAACTCGTCGCTCTTGTATGTTGTAATGCCATAGGACCAAAAGGCCGGGTTCAGAGATAGCGGAATAGCTGTAAACTGAAACCAAATTAAAGCATCAATGCATATTCCTCATCGAGATACCAAAAAAACAAACAGACAAGGGGAGCAATATGAACTGAAGTAACAGTAATTTGTCATCATCATCATCGTGGTTTTTACAATGGGGGATTCCACGGGAAGCCAGCTAGTACCAACTTTTTAAATCGTGGTCTCAGGCCATGGTTGTTGCAGCAAACACACACACGCCTAGCTAGCACTAAGTTGCAGCTGCTAATTTGGACCCCAACAGCTTTTTTTTTGAAAAGGGGGAATTCCCCGGCCTCTGCATTAGAAAGATGCATACGGCCATTTAGACCCCAACAGCTGAGGTACATCACCGTCCTCAGCCCTTCCTCGGCCTTCTCCGCTCGCTGCCTCTCGGCCACCGCCGCAGCAGAGGTCGGAAGCTGCCTGGCGCCCTGCGAGACGCCGCCGCGGACGTTGGCGCTGGCCTTGGCTGCCCGATGTATGGATTTGAGGGCGTAGTTCCAGCGGCAGAGCCCAGCTTGGTCCTTGAGCGCCTCCACCGCGCCCACGCTCATCGCCACCATCCAAGACGCCTTCGCCCCACCCGCCATGATCTCTCTGTGTTGGTGGTCTGAAACTCTCAAGTAGGTGATGACCGAAGAGTAGTAGAGTAGCTAGTTGTCGAGTGTAGAGTGTAGAGTACGGAATAAGAACAAGTGTAGAGTGTAGAGTGTAGAGTGTTGGTACAGTCTGGGATAGGAACAAGCCGCCAGAGGTAAGATCAATGACTGATAGATAATGTGTGCCAACATCCAGCAAGCAGAATCAAATTTTATTGCGACTTGCGAGCACGAACATTGGTTGTCTAGACTAGTAATAGCATCCATGGAAATACCGACAGTTCTATGCTAAAACGTTAGAATTGTCCAAGTTACTGCTTCATAGAAATCAGTTTTGTAGTTGCCATAGAGGTGGTTTTGCACATGTCGTAGTTAAGTGTGCAAATAAAATTGGAAGAGAACATGAATAAAATGGGTAAAAAAATACCTTTTAGGAAAAAAAATCATGTCAGATTTCCTGAATTTTGAAATTGGATAATTATCATAAATATTCAGGAACCATGTAATCTGAAAAAATTCAAAAGATTTAATTTCCTCTATTATAAATCTTTACATTTAAAATTCCCTTAGTTTTATTACATTTTTGAAATATAAAAGGCTGTTCGCAATTTCGTTCATTTTGACCAATTTTTTCTGTAGCTCTTTATTTACAAGTTTTTTTGTATAGTCAAACAAATTCCTGAAATAAACATTTATTGTTCAGCAAATGTCTGAAATTTTTATTGTTCTATTTTCTCATCTTTCCCATGCTTTGTAAAAAAAAGCATTGTGGTGATTATGCTACCAAGTATGCAAAACCACTTTCAATATGGCAAAACACCAAATCTAAATGTTTTGATACTTGATTGACAAAGAACTTTTTGAGTTGGGAGCCAAATATAAGATTTGACGATAGTTGGAGAATCAAATTCCCCCTAAGGAATAATATGAATTCGGTATATTCAAAATCATCACGTCAACTTGATGGTAAGACAACTATAAATGTGTCAAGATTCAAATCTAGACGTTTGACACTTGGGAGACCATAAATTTCCCACATTGAGTTTTATACTTTGGCAACTGATGGAGAAAAATATATATTTCTTAAAATATACAAAAATATATAATACATGGCCCTGCAAATTAATATAAAGGTATAACCACTTGTGACATGTAAAGCCAAGAAATGTTAATTGTACAACTTTTTTTTCTTCGCTCTTGCTTTCGTGTGAACTCCGTCTAGGGTTTTCCGATCTACATTTCTCTTCACTGGCGGTGGTTGCTGGTCCGGTGCACTGGTCTTATGGGGCCTTAGCACGGCGACTTCCCAACTATGTACTATAACAATGGTTGCCCTGCTTCGATGAGGGAAGGGCGATGATGCTAGCGCGCCTTCGGCTTGTTTCAGTGTTTATAGTCCTCGCTAGGTTGCCTACAGAACTGGATATAAATTTTACTTCTGGTGTTTTTTTACTACCTTAGTAGTTGATGAATCGATCGACTGTTTTCTCGGAAAAAAATATTGTACAACGTTTTTTTGAGCAAGGAATCACCTTTTTCAGTGCAGTAGCCAAATATTTTAAGTTTCTGCACTGACTTAACTGGAGAAACATATCACATCAGGCCTCAGGCTCATGTTGTGGACAGGTGACAGTGAGACCACGTGCGAGTATGAGAGCTGGCAGAGGGAAAACCAGAGCAGGGCACGGTTTCCACTTTCAGTGAAGTATTTAACAAAAAACTACCACAATTCATGGATCCGTACCCACAAACTACCACTTTACGAATTTGTGCTGAAAACTATCATTTTTTTGCTAATCTATAACTAAAAACTACCATGTCTGTAAATCGACCAATTCGTACATTTTAAACGCGCTTATAACAGATTGGGCCCATCCGTCAGGACTGAAAGAGTCAGCACCGTTAACTTTGACTGTTAACATATGGGGCCCACATGTCAGTTCTATCCCCTTCCTCTGAATTTCCCCATGGAGGGTTTAGATAAGGGGTTGCGCCGCCTGCGAGCTCCGGTGGCCATCCTCTGCACCCGAGGCCTCCCCGGCATGCTCCGGCGAGGTCGAGCCCCTGCCCACTCCGTCAAGGCCGAAGCCCCTTGTGCCCGTGCTCCTACCTGCTCTGGCGAGGCCGAGCCTCACATGCCCACACCCCCGCCCGCTCCGGTGAGGCCGAGTCCCCCGTGTGCGCACGCCCCTGCCCACTCCGGCGAGGCCGCGACATTGACCTGCTGGCAGCGAGGGCAGATGTGACATGAGGCATCGGTGCGATTCGACGGGAGACAAACTTGAGAGCGGCGGCGTTGACCTGCTGATGGCCGGGGCTGATCGATTCGTCGGCGTACGGCCATGCTGCGGGCGGTGGGCTCCTGCCTCGCCCTCGAGCTCCTGCTGCGACGGCAGAGGAAGAGGAGCTCACCGGCGAGGCTCTAGTGTCCTAGGGGTTGAGCTGGCCATGGCCACCGCCGCGCGAGCTAGCCTACGCGCTGCCGGGCTTGCTGGCTGGCGCACCACTTGCCAAGCTGCCCGCCATGCTGGCTAGCCATGGCCGCAGCCGTGCCCAGGCTTGTGCTTGGTGGGGAATTTCAGAGGTAGGAGTTGTAGGAGATGTAACTGACATGTGGGCCCCTCAGGTTGACGGTCAAAGTAACAGTGTTGACTATTTCATCCCGGACGGGTGGGCCTAGCTTGTCATAATCAGGTTTAATCGACCATTTTTCATACTTGATAGTTTTTAGCAATGGATTAGGAAAAAAAGTGGTAGTTTTTGGCACAAATTCATAAAGTGATAGTTTATGAGCACGGATCCATGAATTGTGATAGTTTTTTGTTAAATACTCCTTTCAACGCCACATGCTTCATTTATGCGCTCGATTGATAACAGTCACGCGTACGTCTGATGGACGAACACAACAAAGAAACGCATGTGAGGTTGCACGAATAGTGGAAAGATGCATACTGTACTATCATATTCATATATCTATAACACTGAACCTACGAGACTAATTCGCAAAAAAAAAAAGGTTTTGATTATCATTTGTACAAGCTGGCGGAAAAATGTGGACCAGGATCAATGCTCTGCCCATCGAACAGAGCAACAGGCAAAGCTTGTGCCCAACTCGAAACAGTAATCTTCCCAAAGAATTTGAAACAAACAGATCAGTTTGAAAGGCAATTCAAACCTTTTTCTGAAGCAGGATAATGTGAACTTGAAGTGGGGAAAGGTTTCATCATTATCATCATCATCATCATCATGATACGTATTTACAATCGGCAGGGAATTAACCAGCCAAGTTGTTGCTAGAGGTTTCTAACAGAGGCTGGAGCCTGGAGCTAGGAGAAAACACCCCAGCAGCTGAGGTACATCACGGTCCTCAGCCCCTCCTCGGCCTTCTCCGCTCGTCGCTTCTCCGCCACCGCTGCGGAAGCCGGAAGCTGCTTTGCGCCCTGGGAGATGCCGCCACGGACGTTGGCTTTGGCCTTGGCTGCACGATGGATGGACCTGAGCGCGTAGTTCCAGCGGCAGAGCCCGGCCTGGTCCTTGAGCGCCTCCACGGCGCCCACGCTCATCGCCACCATCGACGACGCTTTCACCGCACCTGCCATTCATGATCTCTCTGCAACTCTGTTCTTCTCGCCGCGTTGGAGGAGACGATGCCGCTGACGGGTCTGCCTGAACTCTGTGATGCTTGAAGATTGATAGCAGTGGAGTGTTGATTTTGTGGTGGTGAAGGAGCTGAGCTGCAAGCTGATCGATGCTTGTTTGTGTTGATGAGAAGAAGGGTGGGAGCCGAAGGTGTTATATACACGGGAGGGCCATAGGAAAACAGGTGGCAGGGGACGTTGGTTTTCCAGTATACCGGGTGCTTTCAGAATTCAGAGTCAGTTTGCTCACCTCTCGCTGTCGTTCCGGTGCAATGGGCGGCAAAATTTCGTGTTTTGACCCTTTTGTGAAACAAAATCGAGATCTGACCCCAGTTTGAAAACATTTCGGGATTTGACCCTTTTGCCTACCGCCAGGCGGCCCGGCGGTAGGATCATATAGCCTACCGCCGAGAGCTGCGGCGGTAGCAAACTTTTCCACGTCAGCAACGATAACGGCCGCCGTGCCCCCTCCGTCACGCCCTACCGCCGCCCGACCCGGCGGTAGGTTGTCTGAACCTACCGCCGAAGACTCCGGCGGTAGGGTGTGGGCATATATAAACCGCGGGCCGGCCGCCCCCACCCAGCCGCCCCCCACCACGAAGAACAGAGCAAAACTGCTCAAAGCCGCCCTCTCTCTTCCCCTCCACTCCCCCCTCCGATCTTCCTTGTTTCTTGACGGATTTTGCGGATCGAGATGGCCACGAAGAAAGAAAAGTAAGCTATTTCAATCCCTCCAACAAGTTTTAATCAAACACCTTTCGATTCATCGCATTATTCGTTTGAAATCACTCCTATTTGAATTTTTTTTAACTCTAGGATTGATTTAGGTTGATTCTAGATGTTATATTGTGTTAGATTTGAACTATATGATGGATGATGCATGTTCCTATGCTATGGTTGTGTTAAGATGAACCCTAGTTCATAATTGATTTGAATGGTTTTTTTATATGATGGATGATGCATGTTCCTATGCTATGATGCAAGTATTGGATGATGCAAATATTGGAGATGAATTTTTTGATATATTTGTTATATGTAGTATATGAATCCTCAAGATGAACCCTAGTTCATTTTTTTTAACAAAAAATGAGATTATGCATGTTGGATGTTGTTGGATAAATATGTGTTATGATGCATTGAAACCATGGTGATTGCATCTTCATAAAAGTATTTTATTTAGGTCTTTGATATATGTATTGTATTTAGTTCATAATAATCTTGATATATGATTATTTAAAGATTGAACTCATAGGTTCAATTTTTGTTATGCATCGATGTGTTTCGTAGTTAATGTTGAACTCTAGTTCATGTTGAAAAATCTTTTGATGTGTTTATGCAATTCTTTAAGGAGGC